TGAGCAGCGCCAGAAACTTGTTTTTAGATCGGATCATAGATAAATTTTTAAATTCCAGATTAACTCTGATGCCGTATCCTTCAGGCAAACAAAAGATATGCATTTGAACAACATTCTTTACCTCTATCTGAGTTATAGTACCCTTATCCTTCTGTCCAATCGGTCTGCGCAAGAAATTTTTTTCTTATTTTTACTTGTAGGAGTATTCCATTTATTCTCTTTCAGTTTTTCTGAAGGAGTAAAAGATAAAGCTTCGGTTTCACTGGATTCACACTGAACATACTCCTAGAACACCATTACTTGACATGCCCGTTCTCAGTAGGTTGTTTGATCCATGTCGTGATGGATGGTAAACGTTATTTTTCTAATTCCTGACGGAACTCATGAATAGCAAATTCGCCGTGCCCAGAGATCTCCACTGTGGCCGCAGTATGATTCCGCAATCACTGTGTTTGAAAGACTACTTTGCCAAACGAAGTCTAGATGAGATCTGCGCCAAGAAGTTGGGAAGCATATCTCCCTTCCGCAAACCTAGAACGGTTACGACATGATATCTTCTAAGCGTACTGAAACGACTAGTACGCGAGCACGCGTCGCCTAAAAGTTGTGTCACGTGTTGAGCCGAATTTGAAGGGCGGCGCGCCGGCCCTCGTCATTTCCACTCTCTCGCAACTCCGACCGCAGCACTGACCAATCACGAGGCGCACTAATTATACTACCATAGCGAGCGGTGCAGAGGCGCCTCTCACTTCCATGTGCTCCTCTTTCCACGAAGTAACCAACACTTGTCCACCCTCCGGTTTTTCTGAAAATTAATGTGGTAGTAATAACTTTCAGTCTTCGTACATTTATTGTGGTCAACAAAAACTGCTGTATTAATCGATACACATATATATAAAACTAATTGTTGGAAAATCGTTAGTTAGTGTGTTCATTATAGAAACTTTTATGTGTGGACCAATCAGCGCCAAACTTTGCACACATATGTTTTCAACACCGTTTATCCCGTAGGCTATTTTATTCATTGAATTTCCCACTCCTTCTATTGAATTGACGATTTTGAAGAAAAATCCCTTGTCATCCTTACTTAAGCCATTTCATAGTGATGTAACTGCCATTCGACAAGTTACTCGAGCACGTCCTGAAGCAGCATACGTTGCCGTCACGGTGATACACTCGGTGGGTAAACTTTCACACCCAGTTTCTCAATCTCCACTCGAGGTGAATCGAATACGCGGGTGGGAAGAGGTTTTTGGCAGGAAAAGTATTAGGTCGTTCCATAAGTTCGTAGCGTTTTTATAGACCAACAAAATCATCAATTTACAGTAAAAATCACTCAAAATTTTATTCCTGGTTGTAGCGCACAACCTTTTGGCACATTCTTGCTAGCTTCTCAACCTCAATTCTTCAAACGGCAGCGCGCCGGGTCCCAAGAAAGTCATCTAACCAGCGCTCAAGTTGCTTACTGAAATCGAGACATGCACAATTCATGAGGTTCGCCAGAGAGCGGAGCAAATGATAATCTGGTAGAGCGAGGTTTGGAGAGTATTTTAAGTACTGAAGTACCTTCCAGTCGAGTCGTGCAGGAGAGTTCTGACGACGTTTGCCGTATGAGGCCATGTTTCGTCATGCAAAAAAACGCACTGGATTTGTCTGTTAGGCTTTTTCTGCGGTAGGACCTGGTTTAAACCGTGCAGTTGGATTGCTTATGGTGTGGTTGACACCATCGCCTATTTGTACAGTTATATTCAGTGCAGGACGTCCTGCCCGTCCCCCGGAAAATCTTGTTCAGGAACATCCTGCTCAACTCCTGCTCTTTTGTATCAATCCAATTCTTTTTTGCCTTATATTGATGAACAAGCGCCATGTTCCATAATCGACACAAAAATCTGTGCAAAAACGCTTCTTTTCATAACGAAAAAGGCGCAAATGCCGAAATTGCTCCTTACTGCCTCTTAAAATTTCCACCTTTGGAAGCTGCGAGATCCGAGTGAATCAGCTTTCCACCGAAATCAGTAGATGTATTTCAAAGAGCACAATCAGCCCTTCCAAACGATATATGCATTCCGCCGCAAATCAGCTGCTCCTTAAAGATATGAGTACGAAAATAAAAACGCTACGAATTATGGAACGACCTAATAATATCGAAACTGACTCCTTTCCAGGCCGGTGAAGACGGTGTTTAACCGAAACGTAAGGCAGTAGTGAAGTGTGTCACCAATAAAAATCAGCATGGTATAGAAGAATCGTTCAAGTTACAAAATAAATGCCAGGTTACAAGAAAGGAGAACTTATAAACAGGGTCAAGCAAGTGGTGTGGCACACCCCCCTCTAATTGCTGTCTTAATAAGACCCCCTGAACTATTTACCTAGGATAGCATTACTTGATGGCCCCGTCACATACGGGTAACATATTCATAATTAGCATGTCAATTAGCCCCTGTAGGCAAAGTTTGTACGAGTTCTGAAGATTCAAGATACTAGGCCACCTAAGAGAAATGGTCATTTTCCAATATGATTAACTTAGTTTGAAAGGCTGTGCTTTCACCAGATATTACTCAGGAGCTAAGAAGACAAATCAGGTTCAAATCGCTCCCATGAAATCTACGAGACTTAGGCTATCGATTTATATAAATATTGTTCATTAGAAACGTTTTTTATATAGTTATTGGGGTGTGGCACAACCTCTTGAAAGCTGTGGCGGCCACAGCTTTTTAGGGGTGGTGCCACACCCCGTTAACTTACCTTTAAGCAGATCAAATAGCTGCGTTTTTATATCGTTATTACTGCTTAACCTTCTTCTTTACAAAGCAGAAATTTCATATGAAAATCGTTTTTCCTTACCTATGCAAATGGAGAATACTGCGAAAATATTGGGCTACGGTAACATGCCTAGTCTGCGCTACTATGTAAATCGCGATGTAAGGCGGTAAGAGTGAGTATGTACGATAGCCCAACTCTCGTAACTTACATTGAAGTGATTTGAGCCTGATTGTTCTCCTCTAGTCTGAGATATTGAAAGCGGAAAATGGAAGAAATGAGATTTTGGCTTGCTCGTAATTCCATAGTTTGGACGTTATTCGAAGTAGGATTCCTAATATTGGCAAAAAAATACTAGTTCCTTGTACTGAGTGCAGAAAGATGTAGTTTACTCACCTTTGAAACGAAAGTAACAGTTTGAAAATGATTATCTTACTTGGATGGCCCAAGATTTGGAAACCTCGAAATCGCTGAAACTTGGCCCATGGGGATTACTTGACATTCATTTACGAAAATGATGCTCTTATGCTTATATTGCTCTTTTATTACGCTTTAGCTACGCACACGATGGTAGGTCAAACGATAGTACTTACTACGATACGATAGTGCTAGTACTTTACACAGTGCTTATCTGACACCAGTGCGTCACCTCTGCTTCGCAGAGGCTCGCGCTGGCTCTACTATCTATGTGTCTTACTCATTTTCGTAAAATCGTGGCACTGGAACTCACCGCGTTATGCCGACTACTTCGAATAAAATGTAAACTACTACTCATTTAGAAAGCCTTTTCACGTGAGATCGGTGATTTCGCGTGGATGAAACTTTTCGCAGGAAGGCAAACGCAAATTTGAATAGGTTTTTGGATTTGTCATGGCTTGCTAATCGCCGTAGAGGCAATAGTAACCGTGAGTTACATCTCTTCTCAAATGCTTAGCTAGAACCTTGGCAAATTGACCATTTACGCAAAATTCTTTTTAGCGCCGTTTTCGTTATGTAGTAAAGTTTTGACCATTTTTCGGGCTAAAGTCCATCGCTTGCACATTTGCTTACCAAACACATCCAAGGCTCCGCAAAAAGTGGTGATACGGACCCCAATTTTCGGTACAGAAGCCAGGTGGACCCGTTTGGCGCGCAATTTTTGGGGTCCACTTACCGAATCTACTCGCGCTTTTGGATGTTGGACGTTCATGAAGGTAGCATGCGCTATACAAAATTTGGGCTTAGAACGCTGGCTGGAACACGCTCTACGAATTTCGTAACACACACACACACACACACACACACACACACACACACACACACACACCTCTTGCTGAGATAGTAAGAGCTGTACTTCTTCTCTTGTTTAAAAATTGAGTCAGCTCTGAGCGACAGCGAAACGCACGAATATGTAGAATGCGTTTAACGAGGCCAGCGCAGCGTAGAGCAGTCACACTTACGCGCGGGCGTTACCGAGCAGTGTGCAGGGACCACGCTGCGCACAACGTTGCGGGCCTTGTTTTTATCATGTCTTTTTTTCCATTCTTGTAGCAGCGGTTTGCCGTTTTTCTTGCTTCTGTGCGCACATGCGAACTGTCTTGAACCAGAAATGTTTTTTTGGAGCATAGACGGAGGTATTGAATCTTTGAGCATTTCTCCTTACGACATCTTTTATTTCACTTAGCCTCCTTCGGATGGCTGATTCCGGATGTTATATCCACTATATCGACTCGTGCAGCGGACATAATCGTATACCGTTTAGGTTGAGTGAACAACGTGTTGTTACTCAACCTGTTCTCTCAACCTGTACGATATACGATTACCTTCACATATTCACCTTTAGCTGTAAGGAGGAAGAGCACCAGCCGCAGAAATCTCAAATGAAGTGATTCAGATTACATCTTCTTTTAGACCTCAAACCTTTATTTTTTCGCTCGGTGAGAGATTTCAGGAAGTGTAGAAGTAGAGCTGACAGGAGAAGCTCAGAAATTTGGAAGCAGGACAGTGTATAAGCTAAGGATGAAGCAGGAAAGGTAGCTAGAACAAGGACCACGCCGCTTTGCGCGGCATGGTCCCTGCACGCTGCAGCACACGGTAGCGCTCGCGCGCAGGTGTGCGACGGCACCACGCAGTGCTAGCCCCGTCAAATGCATTGTAGCTTCTAAGAATCTCTTTTTTCACAAACCACAACAAGGTTTGAAACGAGGTAAGCGCACAAGTGGCGATGAGACCACTCACTACAACACAAACACACACACATATTAATGTCATATTCCAACCACAGAGTAGACAATGCTTTCGCATAAGATAAACTCTTATTGATACATTGAATAAGATATGATGCTATGGCAGCCACCATTCAACGTAACAGTTTTTTTTTGTGGACAGTAACCGCTTATCGAGAGCGAAATCGCAAATTTGGCACCCTTTTCAATTGAAGCTCCGAGTTCGGCGTCGGCACCGGCTTGAGCGTGGTCTTCTTCTTCTGCCGAGGCTGCAGCAGAATGCCCTCGATGTTGTGAGCTGGATACTCGACCAACAGGGTGCAGATCATGGCGAAGACGTACGAGATCGCCAACTGCACCACGCAGTGCGCGAAAAGCGGCAGCTTGGATTCGTACCATATCGGGAATGGGACGAGTATGTAGGTGTAAACGACAGGGATCAAGTGGAACAGGTACGCCTAGGAAATTATAAAATCGTCGAATCAATAGCGTCATCAGGGGCTGCGTCCAGAGTTGGCCGTGCCAGCGTCGCGCCGGAACGTCCATCAGTCAATAAGGGAAACATTCAGATTGACTGCGGCACGGCGTTAGCACGATGCAGCTATGGTGTCAGAATGATTACCGAATAGCAGAGATTGGAAAGAGGAACCAAAACTTTTGCGCTAAGGATACTGTTGATTATTCCACCAATACCAGTATGGCAAGCATAGATCAGCCAGGCGATACCGATAGCAAACATGTCCCTGCAGTCATGCAATTACGCTTTAGTTCCATTAAAAAGTCCAGCCCTTACCTATGGATAGATCCATATACAAGATGATAAATCGGCCAGTTCCAGCCCTGCAGAGAAGGATAAAGGCCGAAAAGGCCCCAGAATCCGCACAGGAATCCAATCGACCATCCAATAACTAAAATAAAACCTAATTTATTTTCTTCAGCACGGACGACACAAAACTTGCTTACCTTGGAATTTAGCGCTTCGCGCTGGCTTAACTGCTATTCGTTGATAATTAGCAAGATAATAACCCAGGATGATTCCGATGATATACGGCCCTATTCGGTACTGGGGTTTTATGTACAGTTCGATAAAATGCTGGAATATGTTTTCATATTTCATGAGACATCTGTTAAGTTTCAGTACCTGGTTGAAGTTTGGATTGAAAATTTCTGGCTGTCTCACGGTGAACTGCGTTGGTGGAAAATTGCTTTCTATTTGCTTAACAATATTCAGCCCTGCGGAGAAAAGAGTAGTGAAAAAACATAATCCCTGAAAACATTTTTCGTTGAGATTAAGGTACAATGTGTTTTCTGCTCACCATTCCAAGTTTTGGCGCTTGTCTCAAAGACAACAAAAAGACTGGTGCGACCAAATAGTAAAGAAACTCTGTACCAATATACCTAAGTTGGTCATCGGTAGCATTTACTTCCTGAATATGTGGAAAGGGTAGAATTGATCTAAAACTTACCAAGTCCATGGCATACATCTACTATCGAGAAGGCTGTTGATGAACAGCACATTCTCGAACCAGTGCTTAGGGCACTGAATAGCCGGATCTGTTGGTGGCCACATAGGATGGAAATGGGTGACCTCAAAAAAACTCAATATTGTGTCGGTCCGAAAGTTCGTGCCTTCAGCCCCATGCTCAAACCATGTAGAATAATTAGACAAACTCTATAAACAATGTTAGATACAGAATTTCTTTCTCTTTTTAACGGTCATGTCTTTGTTCGGATTTCTTCAATGTCCGCTGGTTTTTACCCATCCTCAAGATATTTTTTGAAATTTTCATTTTCAACTTCTGGACCAGCTTTGACAGCAGTTGGATAGAATCAACAAACGGCAATGCAACACATTTTCTTGGCATCTATAGCTGGCTTCTCAAAATTTTTGAAAATATCTTCATGATGCTATCATTCCGTGTTTGGGCATATATCCGCTCAGAACAATAAACGGCGAGCAACTAGGGTGTCATTCGATGCAGCTTTCCTCTACTTTCTGACAGACTTCTTTTCTTCCTGATTGCATATTACATGAGGACAAAAATCATTATAGCTCTTGTTTCCAGACATCCGAGGCTCTAACCAGTAAATTCAGGATCCATTATTCCGAACCGCTAAACGCACAGTAGTTTGCTAAAATCAGCGTTAAGCGATGCTGTTGGGAGCTTCATATTCCGAAGATTTATCAGTGTTTGCGGTTGTGTATTTCACGACATCGCAAAAGAGAAAGCTTTTGAAAAAAATATTCCAAGAAATACTGAAAAGCTAGATAAAGAGGCCAGAATAATTTATTGTATTGTATTTTATTCTATCTAACTATCATCAAAGCTGGTCTAAAAGTTGAAAACTTTCGAAATATAGCCAAACTCAAGATGAGTAAAAAACATGGGTTGGAGATTCTGATTCTTATTTCGGCGAACATCAAAGTAATCTGAAGAAAAACTTAATGAAAAGGGGACGAATTTCTTCATCACTGTCAAATTCTGAGCACTGTCTAGAGCGTTTGTCTATCATTCTAAGTGGTTTGGGCACCAAAAAACGGCACGAACTTCCGGCCTAATGCAGTGTTTTGCCTAAGTCACTGTACTTAATGATGTTGAAGATTCGCATGAAAACGTTACTGCACGACAAGTCTTAAAGGCTATTTTCAGAGATGAAACCTTCAAAAATGCCGCAGTTCTCTTCCTTCTCCACACTTTCGTTTTGTTTGAAGCGTAAGTGGCAGACACGAACAAGGAATAGGAGAGCAAGTGCGAGAATGGTTGAAAATTTCGAAATGCTCTTAACAATCCATACCAGGAGACCTTGAAGAATTTAACAAATATAAACTAAAAAACATGAGAGATTCTGATACCTTTCCTATATTTATTTTTTGAGTGTAATCACGTAATTGACCTATTTTCATATAGAAAACAATTAAGAACTCGAACAATTTAGTGTCGAATCTCTCTGGTAAAAAATGCAGTGCGTAATGCAGTTATAAAACAAATTCGGCATTCCTGACAAGAAAGGTCCGATTAGTTGAAGTGGCCTTTCCAGTTGACTTAAACCACTTTGAAAAACAGCAAATCTGATCTAACTATCTGCCAAGCGCCTTTGCATGCCTAGTTATGAATATTTTTTGGTGCGAAAAATGAACGCATAATCTAGGTAAAATCAAATGTTCCGGTCTTTTCGGCGCTCAAATAGAGCAGCGTTAAGTACGAGTGCTTTGCACAAATGGTATTCTTCAAATGTAGTGCTACAATCAAGATTGGACCATTTGAGCAATCCTGACGATTTTGCTCTACTTATGCATTCAATTTTCAACTCAAGAGACGCTCATAACTCGACGTCCAGAGACGCTTAGCATATAACTAACCCAGACTTGGAATCAACGTTCGTTGCTCTTTATAGTCGCATCATTTTTATGTAAAAAGGCCATTTCGACTAAACGGACCTCCTTTGTGGGCTTTATGAGTTCTAGGGACACCCGCGGCTTCAATGAATTTCAATTTCTGGCTACTTTGAAAGATTTTTTGCTTCATTGATGGTTGTTCGTTACTTCATTATGGTCTTTAGATTCAGAATAAATCCACTTACAGATAACCGTAACGTAACTACCATAAGCGTGTATAGATAAGCAGGCCATAGTCGGACAACACGATGTCTGTAAAAGCGCATCCAGTAGCCATAGGAAGTCCAGGTGGGTTCTTCCTCTGAAAAGTTCGGTTAAGAAAATATCGACTCGACACAAAATCCAAACAAGCAAACCTGTAGTGTTCTTCAGCCATTTTCTGAACCATGTGTAAGATAGTACAGTACCACCCAGCACAAGGAAGGTATCCGTACTAAGTGTGAAATTGGTGATCCATTGATTCCAGAAATTACCGGCAATAGCTTCTTTGTAATCATCAACGTTTTCGAGATAGGGCTTGCAAATTATATTATTGGAAATTGAAAATTTCTTGCAAAATCTCATGTTCTACAATACCGCTCACATTTTTTGAAAAGTAGACGCGAATGTACATGCATGTCGCTACATGTCGCATGAGTGATTCTACATGTCGCCTACATGTATGGACATGACCATCGCGTGGCTATATCTCGCTTCAGATTGGACGAATTCTTAATTCAAAGCCGCCATTCGATTCAGCTCGGCGCAGAGAATCTTCGGATATATAGGAAGTGGGGGTACCCTCGATATCATCCCATATGTCTTCCCTCAACATGACGTGGATTACGTGGCGTGATGAGGCGCCGCCTCGCCTCGGGCTTGCGCCACGTTTGCGTGCGCACCTTCGGCTGATGTGGCAACAAGAAGAACGTGGAGAAGCCTGCGCCACGTTGTGCTGAGCGCCACGTCGCGCCAAATGATGCGCTCGCAACGTGGCGCGAGCCCGAAGCGAGGCGGCGCCTCTTCAAGCCACGTAAACCACGTCATGTTGAGGGAAGACATATGGGATGATATCGAGGGTACAATGTCTTCGATATTCCGTTTCCAGTTTTTTTGAATTCTTCTGCGGAGGTCCTTTCGCGAATATGTGAAGCAGCGCCTAACCAACATAGAAGACTTTACTAGGTACTATTATATAATACTGTTCTTGTAGATTATTGTGCGTAGAAAAGCTCAGACTTCTTTCCAAGGGAGATAGAAGCGTTGGTGAATTCTGGAAGTATCACGCGTTTTTAAATTCTACTCGCCATAACTTCCTTCGGAATAAGTATATTTTGAATCCGAAAATAGCGCCTTGTTCAGCTCATCAAGGCAAATCTTTCTATATACGGTGCGTCCCTGATATTTCGAATTCAGTATTCTTGAATCTTTCTGCGGACGTCTTTTCGCGAAGGTGTAAAGCAGCGAGCATTGTCCCGAGTGAATTCCAGCAAGGACCTTTTGATAGTCTTTTTCTGTAGGTTATGATTTACTAAATAGTAGCCGCAGATTTCATTTCAAAGGAAATGGAACGGCTAGTGAATTGTGGAAAAATCTTTCGTCCCAAATTCTACTCCCCATAGCCCTAGAAAACGAAGTTATAGGGCATACCAGCCACCATCGGTCGTGGGTACCCACGGGATGAGGTTGCGAAAGCGCGACGCGGGCAGCGAAATTAGTACCCGAGCGCGAAAGCGTCGCTGTATCTGTGGTTAGGGTTGAATATTGTTCTTTTTTTAACACGTTGACGACAGTGTCGCGCAATGGTGCGCGACAGGCAGTCTGTCCCTGTGGACGATGTCGCGCAATGGTGCGCGATACCCCAAATCCCAGTTCTAATGTGCACAATAGTTCCAATTTGTGTTCACATAATCAATTTAGGCTCAGAAGTTTTTCATGTTGGCCCCACCCCTCTTTTGGCAAACTCCGCCCACTCCGTTGCCCTCCACAAAAAATTTTTTTCTTTCTCAAATAGCGTAGAAAAGCTCGTAGATGACCGGGGAACCTTCAATAATCTTAATTTTGACCCCGCCCCCAATTATGCAGGCCCCGCCCCCTGGGTGGCAAGCTCCGCCCACTTTTCAAAAATGCCTGAATTTGCATGAATTCATTGATTTTGAGCAATTTCCAGCATTTTTGAAAAGTGGGCGGGGCTTGCCAAAAGTGAGCGGAGCTACCCTGCCCACTTGCATTTTTGTACCTCACGCATAGGTGTATACATACATACATGCAGCCGGCTGTGAAAATGTCCGGAAAGGGTTCGTCCACAGGGACAGACGTCAAAAAACAGCTCGTCGTCAACGTGTTAAGCTGATTTGCACATAGCCTATCTCTTGCGTATCTGATGAACTTCATTTCGTACTCACTTGCATATTGGAATACCTTGTTTTCCGTATTTCACGCGAAATGAGAAGCATAAGCACCCTGAAACTTCTTTTCTTACAAATCAGTGATGGAAAAGGTAATTCGGCTTTATGCGACTATGACTTGATTTGACACTTTGATTATATGCCACCGAGATTAGGAGACTTCAGAACTTGCCCACGCTGTCTAACAAACTTGCTTGTACTTGTTTCTCATCTAATCTCTAGTAGTAAACCAACCAAATGGGGTAAAGAACAAGTAACATTTTCACATCATACTTGTGCAAAGCGTGCTCGAGTCTCCTCAACTCGGAATAGATGATAATTTCCTGCTATGCATGAGCAAAATGCGTTCACCATTCCTGCTTGAATATTTCTCACTCGAACAGCGGTCTGAAATGCCTAGTAATCGATACAAGTACGAAATCCAATGCCTAACAAAAGAATATAAGGTAAAGACGAGATAAATCAACGTCATGAGTCTAAGAACAAGGCTTGCTTTCGCGCTCGAGTGCAATCTCCTTTGCTCGCGTCCCGCGCGCGCTGCCTCTTCCCTTGGGTGTCCGCGACCGATGGTGGTTGGCATGCCCTATATCTTGCTAAGCAGATGTGAGTTTCGAAATCAGCAGGTCGTATATATAACCTCTATGAGCAAGTTTTCCGACATGTTCGGGTTATTTCATTTTTTCTCGTTTTACGCTCTGGAAGCTCGCCGATGGATTTTGGTAAAATGTTGATGCTCTTGAATTGTAAGGAAACTTCGCTTATTGGGGTTTTCGAACACGCTCGTTACTGAAATCGTGGTCTTTGTGGACTACAGGGTCTTTTTGGAAAGATAGTGAGGTGACTGTAACTGCACCACGAATGTGAGTAAATTTGGCCGCACTTCTCGCGTATCTGTCAGAAAACTTGCCTGTTTGCTTTTCTAAGTCAAAGTAACTAAGAGTTGTGCTATCGAATGATAGCACAACTCTTAGTTTCGAAGACATATGCGATCTTTACATTTTGGGCAAAACTCATGAGGACGTGTTTTCATAGGCTCGTAACTCGACGATTTTTAAAGACTGGAACCTGAGTAATGCATCATTCGATAGCACAACTCTTAGTTACTTTGACTGAGAAAAGCAAGCAGGCAAGGTTCCTGACAGATACGCGAGAAGTGCGGCCAAACTTAGGCACTTTCGTGATGTAGTTACAGTCACCTCACCGTATCTCTCCAAAAAGACCCTGTAGTCCTCAAAGACCACGATTTTCGAGCGTTTCGAAAACCTCTATAAGCGAAGTTTCCTTACAATTCAAGAGCATCAACATTTTGACCAAAATCCATCGGCGAGCTTTCAGAGAGTAAAACGAGAAAAAAGGAAATAACCCGAACATATCGGAAAACTTGCTCATAGAGGTTATATATACGACCTGCTGATTTCGAAACTCACATCTGCTTAGCAAGATAGCTTCGTATCCTGCGGCTATGGCGAGTAGAATTTGGGACGACAAGATTTTTCCATTTTTTTTACTAATTTCGCTGCCCGCGTCGCGCTTTCGCAACCTCATCCCGTGGGTACCCACGACCGATGGTGGCTGGTATGCCCTATAACTTCGTTTTCTAGGGCTATGGGGAGTAGAATTTGGGACGAAAGATTTTTCCATAATTCACCAGTCGTTCTATTGCCTTTGAAAAGAAACCTGCCGCTACTATTTAGCACATCATAATCTACAGAAAAAGTGCTATCGAAAGGCCCTTGCTGGAATTTACTCGGGACAATGCTCGCTGCTTTACACCTTCGCGAAAAGACGTCCGCAGAAAGATTCAAGAATACTGAAATCGGAATATCAGAGACCTGTATATAGAAAGATTCGCCTTGATGAGCTGAGCAAGGCGCTATTTTCGGATTCAAAATATACTTATTCCGAAGGAAGTTATGGCGAGTAGAATTCAAAAACGCGTGACTTTTCCAGAATTCACCAACGCTTCTATCTCCCTTAGAAAGAAGTCTGAGCTTATTTTCTACGCACAATTATCTACAAGAACAGCATTATCGAATAGTGCTTAGTAAAGTCTTCTTTGTTGAAGGAGCGATATGGCCACGCGACGATGTTCCATATGTAGGCGACATGTAGCATAACTCATGCAAAAGGTAGCGACATGTATGTACATTCGCGTCTATTTTTCAAAAAATGTGACGGTATTGTACCTGAACGAGAATCAACGAATGACCCATCAGAGTCCAGACCAACGAAAGAAATCGCATGCCAAACATGCAAGTGATGCATGACTGCGGGTCTTTGGGTAACTGTACCAATCTTCGCAGATTTTTCGCCGCCGAAAATGCAAGCAAAATCCTGGTTGACGTTGACCTGAAACATTTCTCGTCTTCTTCGTTCAAGCAATATAATCACTGCTAAGAACTTCAGCGCTCACTCGACGGTTTCTCCTCTAGTGCTGTGATAGATGGTGGTTGTTCCGACAAGCACAGCAAGTAAGATGTTAAAGGCAAAATCGGCGATCGGCACAAATTGCTCAAACCTAAAGACATATTAGGTTGGCACGAAAGTTCTCTCCCCCCCTCCCCCCATTTTCAAAAATTCATAAGTTCCGATTTTTTCAACCAATTTGGCTCCTTCAATTTTTGTATGAAAGGGTAACCATGCTCTTTCTAATGACATCTTCGATGCTTGCTAATGGTCATCTGTTGCATAGATAGGAGCGATAGAAGAAAATTGGTCAAAATTTGAATTTTCTGTGTAGTGTCATAAAAAATCTGAAACTTGCAACATAAATAGGAGCAGTCAGTCAGTATTGTAGGTTCTTTTACTAGCTCTCTCTAATGGTGCAAAGTTTGCGTCGATTGAGCGTCTCTATCAATAGTTATGATTTCCCTGAAAAATGCCAAAATAAATCGAAGTCGCCCTTTTGTATTGCTTGCTCGAAAATCATAACTTTTGATAGAGACGCTCAATCGGTGCAAACTTTGCACCATTAGAAAGAGCTGGTAAAAGAACCTACAATATTGACTGCTCCGATTTTTCTTGCAAGTTTCCGATTTTTTATGACCCTACACAGAAAATTCAAATTTTGACTAATTTTCTTCTATCGCTCCTGTCTATGCAACAAATGATCATCAGCAAGCAGCTAAGATGTCATTGTAAAGGAGCATGGGTTACTCTTTCATAGAAAAATAAATGCAGCCAAATTGGTTGAAAAAATCGGAAGTTATGAGTTTTTGAAAATGGGGAGACAGAACTTTCGTGCTAACCTAATATTATCTAGAACCGTGATTTACAGTATAGGAACATCATCTGTCGTCTGGTATTTGGCAATATAAAATTATGCTGACGTTATCTAATGTTATTCATTTTGGAGAACCAATCTGAAACCGAAGACTCACTGAAAATGGAATCTGTGGCCGTATTCATCAACGAACCCTTGAGGTTAAAATTTACCTCAGTTAGCATTTTAGTTTATAACCCGTATTCACAACATGATCGCAATGAAATTTTCTCGTGGGTTAAGTCCACCTTGAGGTAGAAATGAACCTTGAAACACATAAACCCGTATTCATCAATCTACCTTAAGGTCAAAATCTACCTCCATCGTCATTTCTCCTTCACTTTCCATTATGCATTCAAGGTAAAATTTAACCCTAGAATAGCTAGGGTTAAAATCTACCTTGACTTCACACAGAACAATTGTAATCTTTTTAAGGACCTCCTTAATTCTAACGGAACCGTTTTCAATGACGGATATATTAGGTTGGCGCAAAAATAATGAGCGTTTTCCCATTCTTCACTTAAACTTGCTATAACTTTCTACAGAATCTACATTTTGAAAAATTGATAAAGACCATCAGATGCATCGAACCTTTCGCAGTACAGCGCACATTGAACTATGCTCATATCTCATAAGGGCAGAAAATATGGATTGAAAAACAAAAAGAGTTTTTTTCTGAAGCCTTGTTTTTGACAGAACATAACTCCTTTCACACTTTGTTCTTAATTTACAAGCGGCCTATCTTGTAGCCGCAAGCCAGTAGTACAAATATACATGGAAACGGCTTGGAGAAAAAAGATTAGCGAAGAGGGAAAAATCGAAATTCAAAAATATCAACTTTTTTAGCATTTTTTCAGTAGGCCTCAAAACCCCGAAGTAGAGAATTTTTCAATTTTCTGCGTACTGAAAAGCTGGATGTTTTTGCAAAAACCGCTAATGGGACTCCTACCCTCACGCTTACAGAGATGAGCAAAGTTTGAGCGACTGATTTTACAAAAGAAAGTTATGGGCTCTAAAATGACCACAACCAGTACCCATGTTAAGCCGCCAAGATCTCACTTTAGATAACTTGAAAAAAATATGGTTGAATATGCATAATGTAGACAATTTCCGTTAAATATAGCGGCTAAATTTTCGATAAACCACCTTCATTCACGTTCAAATTCTGGCCAGAATGAATGCAACGAAAATCTAATTTTGATTGCGATTTTGTGAAGCTCTATAAATTCTTAACAGAGTGGGCTTCCTTTCAAACATCATCAGATAGAGCACGAAAAGAGCTTTCTAACAATGTGCTGAAACCGTTAAAAAGAAAGACGTTTGATGTAGAAAAGTTGTCCGAAAAAAAGTCCTAGGAAAACGCCATTATTTTTGCACCAACCTAATATTATAACCCTAATAGCTCAGATTTTGCTTGTTCTTCTCACCTCTCCTAGTTATGGTTTTCAAGGTTTCGAAAGTTGTTCAATGATCATTAGTGAGCGAACCATTGAACTAATCAATGACAAGTACGTATCGTTAATTTGAAATTCGAGCAAGCTCCTCCTCAAAATTCTTTGCAACTTGTGGCCGTCATCACAAACTCATAAGAATTATACTTTGACTTTCTAAGCTTTATGTCAAACATAACAATGCTCTAAACTGTGCAAGTTATATGAGAGAAACGGCACGCCCTTTACGTTTTAGTGTAAAAGGTTGTTTTCAGTGTAGAAGCATACATATCAAGGAACATCTTGAAGGCAGGATAGATCACGCACATCCGCTCCATTGGCTGCCCACAGAATGCAAGGTCATCAAGGAGTTGGTCTTGGTTTAAAAGTTGCCTAGCATGCGAAGCTCAAACATCCACTTGCAAACTTTGAAAGCCGTTTGACAAAGAATTCTGTTTGTAGGACTGAGGAGATGTCTGGTCGGGTAGTTTTTAAGTTGCTTTTGCCCTTATTGCCGAAAGTTAGTCGAAATAGATAATCGCCAATGTCGGTCGCAGTTAAATCTAAATCAATGCAGTATCTATTATAAAGTTTGATAAAGATACTGTGTGAGATTGACTGGAATGCAAATTTTGCAATATCAAAAATTGTAATTTGAGATAAACCATACCAACACATCACTTTTCTCCTAGATAATGTGATGATGATATAATTCTTGAAGGTTGAATCACTCAATCACATTTGCAGTATCTTCCCCAAACACTGAACTAGACGGGAAAGTGTCTCATGTTATGCTTCCAGTTCAATAAAGACGGCTTCAACCTTAGGCTCCGGGCAGACTTCACGCGATTTGATCGTCGCGACTGAGTCGCGACGAGACAGCTATTACAACATCATTCCATGCTGATCAACTTGCATTCGGTTGTGATACTTTTCCAGCCCGAAATTTTTGAATGTGAAATGAAAATGAATGGAAATCTTGGCGATTAGATCGCGACGAAGTCGCGTGAAGTCTGTCCGGGGCCTTAGGAGATGAACTTTGATAAAGCAGACATTCTCTTGAATGTCACGGCATTCTCTTGAGAATCTTTGACAACTTCTACAGAGACAAATCGTATCTTGAGGACTACTAAGGTGACTTTCTTCTGGATTTTGTTTGTCGCAAACGGCGCAGAGAAGGTGTATGGTTCAAATAGTTTTTCATCAAATTTTGATTTCTGGGTCAGGAGATGTTGGCCCGTAGTAAACTCCCCGTCATGGCATCTCAATTGAGGCGGACCGAGCCGATCGTGGGGCGCCTCAGTCCACATCCCGCGAGCTATTGATCTCAATGTTGATCGTTTTATAGAAAAATGACAGGGATGCGCGTTCTCAAAGAATTAACAGCAACACTGTTTGTTTTGGCATGGTCAAATGGATATGATTGAGATGCAACGCTAGCGACCGTGGTTCGAGATCGGCTAGAGGAACTAGTTTTTGCGCGGCACGTAATCATTGATAGCGGCCAGTAAACAAAATCGATGACCGCAAGCAAAAAGTTCACCTAGCAAGTGCGTAAACAAAACAAATTCACGATTTTTTTAGCACGGATTTTCGTGAAAAAACACATTTTCCGAACAGAAAGATAATGAGATAAACGAAGAAATCTTACTCAACGCTTTTTCATACGAAAAGGCAAACTATGCAAAAAAAAGAAAAAAAACTTATTTCCCTCATTCTTGGCTGCAATCAGCTGTTCATCGACTCTTTCAATCCGTAGACCCCCAAAAATGTGCAGTTTCGCGCACTCTAGCCCTCAATAATATATCACACTAGCTGATCTGCCCGGTCCAGCCCGGGAATGATCACTGATCGGGAATGAGATAAGGTATTCGGTGGCATTGTAGAAACTGTGTAAAGAACAAAAACAAAATGTGAACACTTATTAGTCGGTAGCATATCTCTCTTTCTCCAAATCAAGTTCAACACGCAAAATCTAAGCAAGCAGCGCGAGTTAATTGAAGCAGCGCTCATTGTTATTATGAAGATCATTTTTTGTGACACTTTGCCGTTAACCGGCTACTTCATCTTCATTCACTGTTTGCCGTCAATTTTTGTGGAATCGGCAGTACTTTGCACTCGCGCACTTTCCTGGTCCCAGGGATCAACTGTAGCGAATGTGAGTTGTCGCTTGTCTTGACATTATTTCTGGTATTGACAAATAATTTGTGCGCAATCTCATGAAAAATTTTGACCCCTCATTGTTTAAATTTAGCATGTAACGAAGAAAGCATTGATTATAAGCGTAAATTGAGCACGCTTCCGTACAAAACACTCGCTACAAAGCACTCATGGTCTCTTGCACGCTAAGGTTTCCGCATAAGATACATTTAGTGCATCCATTTAAATGAGCAATTGAGACTCACATCAAGAACACTTTTCACTGCACTTCGTCAACAGAAGTTCACAATGAGACATGCCAGCCTTGTTTACATACCCCTGTTTTGATAGCAAATGATAAGAATCATTTTTATTGCAAAGTGCTGCAAATCAATAAATCGATAGACGGACCCAACGAATCGCTGCAAAAAGTAGCCTATCACCTGCGCAAGGCTCGAAAACATATGTGTCTAAAGTTTCAGCTTAATCGGTTGAGCGGCGCGCGTTTCTATAACGCACATACCCTCCAAACTGACAATTTTTGAGTTTTATATATATACTAGCTGGCTTGCCCGGCTCCGCCGGGCCTGCCAGCTAGACCCGTGTACGTATGTTCCAAATAGAAAATTCCATTTCTGAACCGATCCGGACCAAACTTTGCACACATACACTTCGGGCCCCGGCGGG